TCTTTTTATGATTTTTATGATTTTTTAAGAATTATAAAAAATAGTGTTATGTTGTATTATTACACAGAATAATATATTATTACACGAGAATTGACTAATTGGATATTTTTTCTTTTTATGATTTTTTAAGAATTATAAAAAATAGTGTTATGTTGTATTATTACACAGAATAATATATTATTACACGAGAATGCTTGACTGTGACTAATTGATTTTGTCTTGCTTAAGTTTTTCCATATGTAATGGTTCTTTACTTTAACTTTTCTTAATTTTTTTTAGTTAATGACATACGATTGATTTCCTTTATTATTTATTATTTAAGGACCGCAATTTTTTAAAGTATTTCATATAAGGAACCTATTCTCGAAAGTTCCCAGAAAACTAAATTTAAAAAATTTGCTTTTATTATTAAGAATTGTGTATACGTCAATAATGAAAATTGTCCCAACGTAATTATGCAATTTTGTTAGTATTAAGTTTCAATATTGGATTTATGTGTTTAATTCACGAATCTTGCAATCCAACGTGCGAGAAAAAAAATATTGAATTTTTATATGCTCTGAAGATTTGGTCTTTTTTAGAAGCTTATTTTTTATTTTTTTTTAATGCCCGATGTTCTTAATTGTCATTGTTCACGTACACTTTAGATATATTTGTCTCAGAGTCTAAAGGCCTAAATTCTCTTTCAATTTGATTTCATTTAGTGGATATCAATCGTCATGGGCTCTTTTAGATTCCGTAAGAACTTGGAAATCTTATCTAGAAAAGAGTTTCTTAAACCCCTTAATGTGTAATGAATACAATAAAAATAGCTTACAATTTTAATTTTTCTAAGAAATATTTCTTTTTTAATAAATCTGTTGAATTTTAATAGAGTCATTTAAACCTTGTGGTATCAGAGTAAAGTTATAATATCTGCATTTGCTGAAGATTAAATGTTTATTATTTTTGCGAATAAGATTTGGAATTATTTTAATTAATAAAATTATAAACTCTTAATTAATTAAACTCGTAATTTAAAAAAGTCAAAAGTAACGAGCTCACACATAAAACATATCTTATAAAATTATCTAACATGTTTTTTTTCTTTATTTCGTGATTTATATGAATTACAATGAAACAAAATATATACATACACTCACAAACATAAATATAATACAGTCATAATCACATAATTATGGTGCATTGTATAACCAAATTTTTTTATGGTTTGTGAAATAAAGCGATAGGTTTTTTTTCTATTATATGATATATATGACATGATTATTTATAGATAGTGTAATGGTTCGACGCTATATGCATTGGTATTAATTTTTCTAAATACATTAAAATAAATTTTATTTTAAGTAAATCAAGTAAAATCTCCATCTAGTATCTGATTGATTTATATATCTGTATTATATGTATCTAATTTACTTCAATATAAAAAGAAATAAATGGAAAATCCTTGTTGGATTTTTAGAGCAAATATAATTTGTTGAATTCTTTAATTAAATAAAATAAATATTTATATAATTTTTCTCTGTATTAAGATCAAGTTTTACAAAAACGATCTATTTGATCGAAAAAAGACAGAATTAGTTTTATTCGAATAGTTCCACCAAATTTTTATGCAAGTTTCTTTGTTTTGCGACATATAAAAAGCAGAATAATTCGTTACTCTTTTTTTACACAGAAAAAATAAACGAAACTTTATTTCGTCACGAAAAAAGAAACATACAGTTTATATATATAGAATTAATGTCATTACATTTATCAAATAAAATCTTATTAAATGGAAAATTTTTCTAATGATAAGATAATGATGCTTTTATATTTGGGATGAGAATAATGCAATGGTACAGTCAGCATGATTATTATAGTCCCAGATGCCAAGATTTGAATTTATTATTTTATTGTATATATGTATCAAGTGAAGCGCAATAAATTAGATTAATTGGGGTTAATCACATCATTCTGGACATTGTTATAACACTTTTCTTGATGAATGAATAACTCATAATATTTTTTGAATGTGTGAATAACACACACCTTGCATTTATTACAATCTGTGTTTAAAACTCGTTTGTCAAAATTTTTTAAAAAAGTATCTGGTTTATTTCACAAAAATTGGAGAATGTGAATATTTTTGAAACTATTCCTATAAATTCAAATTTCATTATATATCTTAAACTAAATAAATAATAAATAAATAAAACTTATGTTTTATGTACAATGTACAATGAAATAATAAATTTAAATTTTGGTGGCGAACTTGCAATAATCGTGCCGAACAGTAAATAATGTTTGAAATATATATGAAGTATATTATTGGCTCATGAATGAATATAATACGTAGGTACTGTTTTATCATGTTTTATCATATATGCAATGTTGCGTAATACATACTAGCATATACTGGAGCTTTCGAAGCGTACTGTAGCTCTCAGGTGCAAATATATTGTTATTTAATGACAAACATACATGTATAAGCTTGATTTATAATAAATATTTCCACTTGTACATCTTGTTTCCTTGAATATCGATATAAAGTTTGCGATATACATAGCTCATTATTTGATGTTGGAACTTCAATTTAAAAAGGTAAAAAGATGCCGTCAAATCTTTTTTATTCTAACATTTTTTTGTTTTAGTTTTCTTTTTTCTATATCAGCTGTTTTTTTTTTGAATTGTCTCTCTCTCTCTCTCGCGAATCTTAAACTTAAAATTATTGTCTAACAATTATATTTTTTAATGGTATCTTAAACATAAACTTAATTCTGAGACATAATATAAAACATTAACATTATCAAGCCCTCAGCTCAATTTTAAGAAAGAGTATCTTTAGGATTAAACTTTCGACAAGCCTGACCATTTTAGCTATCCTATCTCTGTGTTCAGGAGAACATCCACAATTAGAGCATCAACCATTAACTCTCAATCCCTTAACCCTGCTAACTTGTGGTACATGTGGTACATGTGGTAAATTTGCTTAATAAAAAATTCATCGTTAACTCTCGTCCTAATTTTATAGGCATCTTGATTATCATGGAAGTCAAATAAAGCTGGCGGAACTATATGGCCAAATTCACTTTTCGGTGCCACGGTAAAACGGCCGGTTGGTGCATGTCCGAGCTAGATCCATAATTGTATATCAAAAATGTGGAAAAATATTATGGATTTAATAATGTTTTATTAGCTGCGCGTGATATTTTGTCATTTTAAATAGTTATACTACGGACAGCGATAATATAAATTATTATTAAATTATTTTTACATGTATTATGTATATGGGCATGTGAAATAAAATAAATTTTTTAAAATAAATTTTCTTAATAATATATCCAGTTTTATGATATATATATATATATATATATCATCAAACAATAAGAAATAGCACATCGACTTTTATAATACATATCAATTACAGGTAAAATAATTGAATAACAAAAAAATACGAAAAACAGTCACAAAAGCTATTTTTGTTATAATAGTAGAAATGATATTATTTATCATTTTATATTATTTTTCAATTTAATTAAATAAGTCAAATTTTGATTTTTTAAAAATAGGATGAAAAATATTAATGCCTTATCTTGCAGCATGCTCTCCAACAAAATATATATAATTGTTTAATTGTATAATTGTTTAAATCATGTCACGTTAATTATATAAGTTATTACATACTAAATATTATATGACAAATGTATTTTATAAGATATCATGTATTGAATATTATATGCCGGTGGCTAATCAAATTGTGTTTGCATATTATGTTTATTACAATTTGTCTAAGATGTTTACTTATTCATATGCGATTGTACTAATATAACTAAAACGGTCGCAACAGATGTAGTGAACTGCAAAAAAAAAAACAGTAGTTTCTCTTTTTAAATATTTATCACACACATATTCTTAGATAACGGACTTGTAACGGATAAATATATCATTATAACCTACTCCTTGAAGAAATTTGAAAGCCAAACTGGAAAAGTCCAAGCCCACAGAATCTGATTGGTGATTGAATCATAAGTAAAAACTGTAGTATCTGTATTGCAACACGATGGATTATTTAATATATATGTTCTCGGTTTACTGTTTTTTATATATTTAGACATAAATAAAAGTTTATATTTCGAAAACAATTTAATATATAAAATGTTAAAACTTACATTTTCACGAGTTTCAACATCGCAATTAAAATGCGATAATTTATTTATAATATTTCCTGTTGCATTTGCCTATAATTGAATATATAAAATAAAATTAAGGTTGCGTTTTTTAAACATACATCACAATATATATATATATATCATTTAATAAATCAAATAACTATTTAAAAATGATTCAAATAGATGCATATTTTAAGCTTGATACCTTGCTGCTAATCTTCTCACAAAAATAATTAATGAGGAAAAGTCTGAAGACGTCTACGGAAAGCCATAATAGTATTATGGTGATATAAAGCATTTTATTATTATTATTGATATAATCGTTAATGAGTATCGCATTAAAAATTTCTCTTAGACGCCAACGCTATGGAAGCAAAGCAACATCCCATTTCAAGAGTCATTTGTATTCCGAATATTGAATTTATTTTGTAGGATATTTTACGTAATTCCAAATGAAGATGTCTGTGTAAACATAATATTAACTTATCACGCCAAATGCAACCATGATCGATTATATTAATATAAATTGTTTTACACACAAACATCAATATATTATATTAGATTGCTAACATGTATAAAATTCATATGATGAAATATAATGCGGTCTAATATAATATATAGAAGTTTGTGCTCTTATACATTAAAATCCATATCATATATTTGATTCTCGGAATTTTTGCATATCTAGATTGATGACAAAGTAACACAGGATGTTCCCAAACTCGCTTTATTCTATCATTACTTTTGTTTAATTTCTCAAGATATTTGTTGATTTGATCAAATTTCAAGCTCACGTACCTAAAGATTGAGAAAATTAATAGGTAATAATTATTAGCAAATATTTTTGTATATTTAAAAGTATGAACTAACCCAAGCATACTTGTTATAATGAAATCGCTGATAATGTTAACATAGGCGCAATAACGGCGCATAAAAGGAAAGTAGATAAGCGGCGCAATGTCAGTATTATATTCATCTTTCAAAAATCGTATTTTTCCTCCGATTATTAATATGGTTATTAAAAACGATCCTAAAATGAGCCATAATGTTCTCATACGCAGTTTATTATAATCTGTTATTATTCCCAATTTTTCCAATGTATCGTCCACAATATTCAGGCTTTTAATACAATTTTTAAATGCCTAATGTAAGAAAATAGCAATATATTAATGATATGTATTCCTCGAAATCTTTACAATTTTATAAAATGTCTAATAACTTAATCATTCTATATTGAAAAAAATGTAACGTAAAATGCAAATATGCATTACACTTACACATGCGTGTACTGTCCTATCTCTCAAATAATAATTTTAATATTAGATATTTAGCAGAAATAAAGTTTGTCGATAATTTATAATATATAATATAATATGTCGTAAATTTTTTACAATCTTATATGGCATCTTAATACGGCAGTCTTTTTGTTATATAAATATTATAAAATAGCTATAATTTATATTCCATTTTTTAATCAGTGATATCATTACATTAATATTTTTCTAAATCTCTTACCTTGTCATGGTATATTCCAACGATAATTGTCAATAAAGCTGTAAAAATGTTAATTCCAAAACAAATATGGTACACGATGGAGTAATGAATTGTATAAGGTATTATTCCATATATATAAACAAATATATAACATGACCATAATAACAGCATGTACAGAAAACCGAATTGTCTCGGGACACCTGTGGAAAATTCGGCTACTCTACAACCGCAGATGTAACTAATTATTAAGAGTGGCGATAAAATTTTTTGGATGCTCATAACGTACGCGACTAAGAACTGCACTCTGGTTGTGCCAGCAATTATGTTAAAACGATAATATAATAATGGATCCTCGTAATTTAATTCATTATACTCTTATGCATAATATAATATAAAACAATAGTGGATCTTTCTAATTTCACTACATAATAAAATAATCGATATGTTGAATTTTATATACTGCAAACTATAGAAACAGAAATGATTGGATACATCGCGTGTTTTCATGTAAAATAAATACGTTCAGAATGCAAACATCGATGTCGTTCGTAACATTTTTATTCTTTATTTTTCCACTCATATGTTTATATATGCTACGTGTATTTTTAAAAAAGAGATATACATATATGAGATAGAACTTACGAGAGAGGAAGGTCATATAAGTTTATATATTTTACTTAATCCTCCCTCATGTTTAAATTTTATTTTAATTAAATAAAATTTTATTAGGAATTTTTTACTTTCCCATTATCGATGCTCGTATTTCATACTCATCTCTGTATAGTCCTTAGAGATTCTAGACTCGATAGGAAAAAGAAGAAGAAAAAGAAAAATACTAAAATGTGAGTTACTTTAACACAAATAAAACTTGGACAATAATTCTGATAGCTGCCTGGATGTAATAATAGAAAAAGTAATCTCCAAGAAGTGTTAATGGTATTATATCTGTGATTAGATATATAAATACAATTTAATAGTGTATTGAGCACGTATAAACGGTTATTTATGTCATTAAAACTGTGACTATAGATAATGATGGATTAGTGTGGAATAATATGTAGTGATGATTCTGCTAACCCAGCGACATAGCGTTCAAAAACACGCACATCCATGCACATACATGCGCATGCAAGCAGCAGTTCTAAAATAAATTTAAAAAAAAAGAAAAACATGTGTGATAGAAATTAGAAGGGAAAGAATTAGAGTTGTTACAATACTCTCTCTTAAATTTTATTTTAATTAAATAAAATTTTATTAGGAATTTTTTACTTTCCCATTATCGATGCTCGTATTTCATACTCATCTCTGTATAGTCCTTAGAGATTCTAGACTCGATAGGAAAAAGAAGAAGAAAAAGAAAAATACTAAAATGTGAGTTACTTTAACACAAATAAAACTTGGACAATAATTCTGATAGCTGCCTGGATGTAATAATAGAAAAAGTAATCTCCAAGAAGTGTTAATGGTATTATATCTGTGATTAGATATATAAATACAATTTAATAGTGTATTGAGCACGTATAAACGGTTATTTATGTCATTAAAACTGTGACTATAGATAATGATGGATTAGTGTGGAATAATATGTAGTGATGATTTTGCTAACCCAGCGACATAGCGTTCAAAAACACGCACATCCATGCACATACATGCGCATGCAAGCAGCAGTTCTAAAATAAATTTAAAAAAAAAGAAAAACATGTGTGATAGAAATTAGAAGGGAAAGAATTAGAGTTGTTACAATACTCTCTCTCTCTCTCTCTCTCTCTGTCTTTTTTAGAACACAATATTAATAAAATAGGCTTAAAAAGATAAAATTGACAATTAAAAATATTTTTAAATTTATATAATACTATTTTTATTTGTTTTGTCATTCTATCAAATATTTAACTTAAACAAACATTGCTAGCTAATCTTCAATTTAGACATCAGATTCACATATTTATTCGGGATAATTAAAATAATTGTCAATCGTGAATCTACGAATACGTACGAATAATAGAAAAGTGTTTATTGAGCATAGACTTACATTACAATGATAATAATCACTAATAACAAAGTGTGTATAATGATAATTAATGATACAGGTTTCTGCAACGGATAAGAAGTTACTTAAATGTAATTTTATGAACTTCTCCGATTTGTATCGGTTTGACTAGTACATTAAAAGCATATATCGACATTAAATCGTCATGTTAATCATCATAAAAAGAATGAGAGCACATCTACGCCATAATTACGATATACAAGGTATGTAGTGTATTAAAAACGTGTTAAATAAATTAAATATGAAAAATGTACATTTATAGGTTGCTAATTATTATTATATATACGTAACGAGTGCGCTAATCGTAGAAAACGATAAAAAAATGCAAGGCTGATTTGTACGAACTTTCTGTAGCAAAATATTTTTAACATTATTTTTGCAAATAAGAAATTGTCAATACTTCTCGTAAATCTAAAAAATCATCGATATTTCTTATAAATATAAAAACTATCAATGTTTATTTATTTTCTCTAATATCATATCGCCAACTATATTATTATTATTATTATTACCATTCTTTATTTTGTAATTTTGTTGAGACATACATGGTATAGAAGCTACACATTTATACACATACACAGCCTTGTAGATTCAAATCAGCCTAGCAAATTTTTTTGCAGAAAAAAAGCAGGGGATCACATGTCAAAAATATTAATAAAAATATGTATACAACTTGTAGTAATAAATACACGAAATTTCCTTAACAGTATGGATTGCTTATTTTGTTAGATTTCACGACTCTTCGTCTCGTAGAAAGTACTTAAAATAGAGATCCTAAAAGCTATTCTTCTTCGTTCTCTCTTTCTAAACTTTGCGTCCAGTGCGCACGCGGAGAAATTTCCTTATTGATTTTTTTGTCACTCAATATTATTTAAAAACATATAGCGCGATTTATGTCTTTCATATATATATATATATATAAAGTATAACTTTCGGAGAAGTTGGTTCTCAAGTCCAGAGATCATCAGCGTACTATCAATACGCATTTGGTAGCATACATTATTAAAGTGTACTGAAAACTTTTTTTGTCATTCTGTAGTAAATATGTAAATGAAATAGATTAGTTTAGTTTAATGCAGCAATTAATTTAATAAATGTAATAATAAATGTGAGAATGCGTATAATTTATATATGACCTATATTTCCTGCGAACATAATAACTAATCAAGATTTACAACTGTTTATGTTAATCCATGAGAAAAAATCTTCTATATATTTTACCAATTTATATAATCGGATGTGCATAATAAAATGCGAAAAAATGTATTTGTGAATAAATGTATATACTTTCTCATTTTTGATGCCATAATTTAATATGTCTGCAATAAGAAAACTGGAATCTTAAAAGTAAATTTTGGAAAATAAACAACTTGATCGTCTTTTTAATTTTTTTTATAATTTTAAAACAAATAAAAAGACTCAAGTAAAAAAACTTTTAAATTAATATAATAGTTTCTTACAAGGAGCAAAATTTTTTTAATCTGATGTAAAACATCCTAGATATTTTAATTATTAATTATAGAAAATTAATTATATAATTGTTGTGAATAAATACGACTTTTCGCGATACACTATATATACCGTGTATATATACCGTGCGACCGCGATTGTACGCACGTTCCAAGATTATCATTCCTCCCACATATATATGTGCGAAGATTTTCATCCTTTTTCCTTCTGTTAAAATTACATTTGATGTAATATAATCCTAATCAATTGCGACAAATCGATCGATAAATAAATACTTGAAAATAATCACAGAAAATAATTTCGTTTCTGTAATGCGATTTGTAATTGCAATGATCTTAATCGAATGTTATATTAACCCTCAGTAAAAGGTAACAAACTCTTTCCATAAAGTTTAGCAAAAATGTTAAATAAAAGAAAATATTAAAATTATACACAATTGTAGTATCAGAAGACCATATTACAGAACATACTGTAAATTTAGTAGTAAATTTTTAATATTTATTGTATTACTTTTTTTCTGGATTTACATAATCATATAAAGAAAACTATCATGATTAGAAACTTAAAAAATTTATTTATTTAAAAGAAAATGACATATTATTTATTTTTTATATATGAATATTATATCTCTATAAAAAAGAAAAAAATAATTATACATATATACACACACATATATGCCATTTATCATACTATTATTGTATGTGTGTGTAAAGCTTTATTTTTTTTATTTTACTATTAATTTTAATATTGTATGGTCTCAAAAACGAAAGTTCTACTTACTAAGGGTTAAAATATAACAAATCCATAATTAAATATCGCATACTGATTGAGATCTCTATTCATACTAATTAGGAAATTTATATCAACTTTTTTTTATTTCCGATAATAATTAATACTTCATCTTCCTTCATCGTTAAGTAACCAAAATACTTACGTGTGAGTGACAAAGATTCTCTTATTTATCGTTAATTTCTTATAAGAAACTGTTCATGAAAAGGGCAGTGCTGAAAAAATTTGTCAAAATTAAAAAAAAAAAAAAATCCTCAAATGCTTGTTTAAATTCGACATTCAAAAAGATATTTTAGTGGAAAAGAAAATGTACTTTCCATGATATATGACTTATATCTTGGAAAAGACGATATCGATTTATAGATGATATCTAGAGAGACTAATTTTATGTTAATTAAAATACTTCGCAACTTTTAAGAACTGGTCTTGGGCCACGCTATTTTCGCGTCGATCCGTTTGTAGGCGAAAAGGCAGTGAGAGAGTTCCTGCGGACATTCATGATCTCCAAGTAATGTTTCTGAAACAATATTTATTATTATTATTATATTATAAATATATTTTATACATTATATTTTTCTCTTTCTTATATTAAATTATGTTTTATATTTGTATATTAAACGCGATTATACCTTCTCCTTGCACCAACTTAAAAAGCCCGTAGTCCTGAGGATTGGTACATCTGATCTTATGTGCAAGAATGCGGCAGATTTCCCTGGTGTTCATGTTAGGTCGTACCGGAAGCGTTCTGGTATTTAGGGAACCGTGTAGCTCATTCGGTACCAAAATCCGCAGCACAGACGAACAATCGGGCGTTCCACATCCCTAAAAACCATATCCTCATTTTCGTCATCAAGATATCCGATTGAAATTTAATATATTTGAATTTTCTCAAGACATACACACACAATTTAATGCTTTTAAGTATCTATATATATGTATATGTATACATATATTTATTTATTGCTTACGTTCAGTGTAGACATGGTGCCTTGGCTAGACATGAAAGTCTTTAAAACATGTACCGCGCTCGATAGCGTTGTCAAATAATAGCCGCCCTCGCCATTTAACAGAGAAGCGTGCAACAGGCCCCACATATACTCGGCCTCGATTTCCGCGTCCACTACTTTGCCGCGTACTAAAACCCAGATCACCAGTGGCAAAAGATCATCGGCACCCAGTGTAATGTGTCTACCAGAGTTAGCTTGCTTCACCTATAAGATCGCAATTAAATAATAAAAATAATATTTATAATTAAATTTTCATTTTTGATTATATTATTTTTGTCTACAATTATTAAAAATAATAAAATGTTTAATTATAATTTTGTAAAGTTATTACATTTTAGTAATATTATATAAGAAATAATGAAAAAAATTATAAAAAAGAAATAAGAAGTGTGCTTATTTATTGAAAAAAATATTACTAATTATTAAAAATACTAACAAAAAATTTAGAAAATATTGACAAAATACTAATAAATATAAATTCATCGATTTTTTTATTTTTTATGTAATAAATATTTGACTAATAATATTTGAATAATTTTATGTAAAGTTATACATACATTCAATATTTTGAAAAAATGTACGATTTATTTCACGTTTATAATTCTATTAATATGTTTGTCAAAAATTACGGAAAGACTTACAGAGTTGAAGATGGCCGAAATGGCTGTCAATAAATGCTCCAGTTTTTCAAGTGGAGAGTCAGCTCTTTGCAGTCGCTCAATGCACTTGAGAATGCGTTCCAGATTTTCCTCTGAAGGGGGGATAATCTTCGACTGCGCACACAAACGCACGATTGAGACTTAATAAATATAATATAAGAAATAATAAATAATAATAAATAATAAAATAATAATAAATACTAATTCATCGATTTTTTTATTTTTTATGTAATAAATATTTGACTAATAATATTTGAATAATTTTATGTAAAGTTATACATACATTCAATATTTTGAAACCCTATTCTCTTTGTTATATCTTTTGATAAAGTCATATTCGTCATATCTTTATTATATCTTTTGATACTTTTTATTATATGTATGTATGTGAGATCTACTTACTCGAACGCCGAGATCATGAATGGTCTTGCCCTGGGCGTGCTGAATATTCTCTGCCAGGGTCTGTAGCACTCCAGTGGCGACATAGTAATCAATGAACAGCCGACAAACGTGTTCTCGCAGGGGCCTCACTACTAGGCCCATCATCACATCCTCGAGGATCGCGTCGAGATTGAGGAACTCGTTTGGCCGCAATTTTAATCGCTCCTTCTCCACTTCCTTTTCAAACTCGCGCTCACCGTGCTTCACCAAGTAATTCTTCATACCCGACATGAACTGCCGCATGTTGCGCATCACTATATGAGGAGTCACTTCTTTACTCTCCCGCGTGCATTGAATAAAGTTGTCGATATTCTGCGAAAAGGTCGTGGTTTTGTCAGCCGCAAGTTGAAGAGCGTAAGCTCTGATGGCCGCCCCGGTTCCACTCTGTTGATCACGATTTCTCGAAAGCGCTTGTATTCGTGGCGGTGCTATAACAAAAAGGAAAATAAAAATTATCTTCAGGATTTCAGAATAGGAAGAAGATGTTATAATATTTTGTATCATAATAATTCGTTTTAATCATAAATATTCGTGATAGGATACGAACATTTTATTGCTTATTGTAATATTTTTCAAGCTTTAAACGCGTCTCGAAACTGTGCTTTATGAGTCAGTTGATATTAAATAAAATACACATGTCTATTTATGATCCAAACAAGAATTATTGCTATAACTTTAAATTAACTTTTTTAAAAACTAAAATTCTCGATGACAAATCAATGTGCATTTTTTAAAACTGCGCCATATATTATTACATTATTTCTGATTACAGAAAAAATAATGACAAAAATCTCAATTTTGTTATATATATATATAAGTACTTTATTCAAAATATATAATTTATACAAAGTTTTATTTTTTTATGGTTCACAGATTAGTTTTTTTTTTTGTAAACAATTAAAGTTTATTGAAATTTATGGGGTAGTGCATATCTTTGTTGTTCTTTTTATCGGTCCCAGCCTAGGAGGCTTGTCACACGTGAGGCGCGCAGACAATTGAATCCATTCAAAGGTCAAGACGTAGGATTCCTCTTTGTCCTTTTTTTATTTATTAAAGATGTTTCAAAGAAAGAACCGAAACGTTTGATGATTAAAGAAGATTTCTCAAATACAATTATTTTGCGCCTTAAGTACTGCGCTTGGCTCTTATTAACGCATTTCCTTTTTGAATTTATTTATATATTAGAGTCTTGTACGCTTTTTTTTATTTATCAATTCTTACATTTAGAAATGACCATCCTTTTCTTGAGAAGACGTTGAATCCAGATTACGATTCTTTGCAAGATTTTTTTAATACGAAACTTCCGTCTACTTTTTTCACATTCCATTTCCATCCCCAACTGAATATCCTCCTCTGGCGAGCAACTAATTATTATCCACTCTTCATCCATTTCTTTTTTATAAGATACTTTTGCGTTATACATATGACATTATTATTGAAATCAAATATGCATCAATTTATACAATAGATAAAAAAAAAAAATATATTTTTCAAATCAAAATTTGTTCTCTCATGGAATATAATATTTTTCGTATGTCAAAGAAGAAATAAATTGATTCCGATGTTTTTGATCAGAAAATTTCAATATAATTTAGAAATTTAGAAATATAGAATTTATAATTTAGAAATTCAGAAATTTTGAGATATCCACTTATGATCTCTCCATCAATTTTCATTATGATGTAAAATCAGCAATGTCCGAACACGTTCCCGCACGTGCGGCAATAAACTTAAATAAACTTAAACACCACGATCAATTGACTGATCGGCTGACAACTGACCCCTTGAACGACTCGAACGTTACTATACCCGAACGATACCAAGAAAAAATGCTAGAGATTGATGTCGCTACTGCAGTTTAGAGAGAAAGAGGGGTTAAATACTTTTTTTTTGTGACCGATCGGTCAGTCACAGTTGTAATTATCAAGCTAATCTTGCTATATTTATCCAATACATATATTCTTTCAATATATGAATAATATGAAGGTAATAAATCTACGTCTTCTAGCATCGATTTTTTCTACACTTTTCTTCAATTTTTCATTTTTCAACAGGATAACAAACTAAGTCACATATTAAGAACATGCATCTTCTCAATATTAAAAAAAAATAAATTATAGTTAAAATTTAAATTAATGTGATTTATATATTATTAAATATAATAATTTAATTTAATATAATATAAAATAAAAAATAATGTATGTTTTTTTTCAAACTATTTAGATTTTCAGATCATTAAGGGCGCGTTCCGTTTAACGCCCGCACACAGTATCATTTCGTCCCTGTTGTTCACCGAAGATAAACAAAGACAAATCATGCTCGCGAGCATTAAGTGGAACGCGTCCTAAATGGATCCTTTTAAATACTACAACTTCTGCCTGAAACATCGTTTTTTTGTATATAAAATATTTTCTTTCTAAAATATTAGACCGTTTGGAGACTTTTCGAATATTCTATATAGTAACAAGAGTAAAGTCAATAATAATGCTAATGACAGAAAGAATGATAACGGCAATAATAACAGCGCAAATAATAATAACTAATAAAGAAAGAAGAAACAATAATGTAAACATCATCAAAATCAATATTATAATTATAATAATAATTGTAACAATGTGAGCAAGGCAAAGAAAAATAATTATTGTCATATTAGAAAAATTGTTGTTTTTTATTAAAATTTCTGATCTATATTAGTTTTTAATCATTTAATAACATATTTATTTCTAATATAATTTATTTTTATTTTTCAATAATTATTATTATTTATTTATTTATCTATATACACATTTAACGTTTAAATAACGTACAACATGGCTCGCTAAAAGTGGTCATTATCAATACTAATCATTATCTTTGCACTTCTAGCATAGTCATATTTCATTATTTCTTTGCTAAGGGGGTCGAATCGCGTCATCGCGTGAATAAAGAAAACTTTTTCTTCCGCTTTATTTCTTGCGTGACGCGTCACTCAACGCATACTTTGTTTCTTTCTTCTCGTGTAAATGTGAATCTTGTCGATCCAATAGCAAGTGCGAATTACGATTAAAGTTTTGATTGCAGACGCCGATTTCATTGATCACTTTTTGAATCTCATTTTGCTTAAATTGATGATTATCGAGACAGTAGCGCATCTATTCTAAATTGTTGCATTCTTTCACGATGATTATATATTTATTTTCGTTTTAAATTAACTAATAATTTATTTTCGTTATTATGTATATAATTAATTTATATTTTATACAATATATATTTTTTATCTTACGTAAATTTATAAAACAGAAATTTTATTTTTCCTTCTTTTTTTATCTTATATATATATCTACTGATTACAGTAAGAACAATAACATTACAGATGAACAGATCACGCTTAATTACGTAAGACGTCTATTGTTTAACGTGCTAATCACAGTTACATATTTCTCAAGATTTGCGCATAGATATCAACGATTCGTGCATTGTGTTTACCACATACGGTGTCAGGGAATTGATTAAACGTTTAAAAATTTTTTGTACAATAAGAATGATGAGAGGAGTATCAAAAATATATATAAAAAAATTAATAAAAATAAATATAACAAAATTTTTTAAGTGTGATAAATATTTAAAATATATGTAAAAATTTTTAAAATATTTAATCAATTCATTATAAGAAAGATATAAAACTTACACAAAAGAGGATCCAGTCGTTCTTTAAAACTTTTGTTTCGTTTGACCTTTTCTATGTCGGTCTCCACATCCGTATCCAGCATAGTCTCCCATTCAGAAGGATCATACGTGCGATCTTTTCGTGAATCTGGCGTATCCTCACGGTCCATGTTCCGCTTTTCTACGTTGTCATATGAGGAATTTCGGTCGCTATATAGCGATTCGCACGTGTCCGGCGACTTTAACAATTCCGGGTATCTGTCAGATTCAAAAGTCGCATTTATTATTATCGCCAAATGATTCTTATTAATCCGAGGACTCTTGTAACTATTTAGAAACATATTTTATTTTGGAATATTTTCGCTTTTTATAGTTATCGTGTACAAGTGGGGCAGTTAAAGTGTTACAAATGTAATACTAAAGTATTACATTTATCATCATCTCTAAAAATATCTTCGGGAACAAATATTTTAAACAAAAATTATTTGACTTTAAGGAAGATTTAAGACTATGACACTTGCGTAATCTTTAGCATCCTTGTTGAAGTCGCATCGGCAAGGCCACTTTGAATTTTTTAAGTATTTCAATTTTTCATTGCACGTTCTTATATAATTTACATCGAATTTTTAAAATTATGTAATATTATATCATTATTCTCTATTAAAAACTTTCTACGTTATATAATATGAAAATATATTTTAATTTAATTTAAATAATAAAATAAATTTAAATAATTTTAATTTTAACTATTTTAAGAGATCAAATGTTCTAAACTTCTTTAATTGTGTCACTCTATATATCTAAATATAGGATAATTAGATATAGCAAATACACAATAATATCCATGATTGAAAATCAGATCAGGGGTGAAAAATTGCATTCTACATTTTACAAAAATTGATCGAAAATAGAAAGTATGTATGCAAAATTATAATGAAATTCTTAATAAAAAAATTTTCTATGTTATATATCTTATAATTCTCTTTTATTTATATGTTACTAACATAAGAAACTTACCGTTGCAGGATTATACTCTGAACTGTCAAAGTGTCTCCAACCATGTTTCTATTGCACTCCTCGTCACCCGGGAATTTTCTCGCAATATTGTCACCATCGTAGTCGGCATCACAATCGTAGTCTGGCTCGCACTCTGGCTCTTCCACGTCATTGCCTATTCAAAGTTGAGAATCTATTATTGTGTATTTAACATACACATTCACATATATATACACGCATATTTTGATTCGGTTACATACCGATAAACTCCCAACTAGAATCCACCGTCCAAGAGGTATCATTGAACACTTTAGTTCTTATCTTCGGTGGCTGAACGGGCTTTGCCCGAGGAATCTTCTTCGTCTCTCTAGTTTGGCCCAATCTCTTTGCCAGATTGTCGACAGACGATGAAATTAATGGCGTTTTATCTTCCGTTTCCTCAGGTGGTTCTTCCCAGCAGTCGATAGGATGCAATTGATTAGAATTGTTTCCTGTCGGAGCTTGTAACCAACCTGGTTCGCTATGTCGATACTTATTTATCGCTGGATTATTTCTGGTTTGTCGTCTCCTCGGAACTATAGCAACATTCTGAGCAATAGCATCGGCTGGTTCAGCATAAAAGGGACTACTCTGTTTAGATTCCGGGGTCAGGGGACTGTTGCTCTCCGAATTTGCCAGAACAAGGCCCAATTTATTTCTCGGAGGCGTCACTGTGTTTGGACTATTCAATGAATTGGCACTGCCTATGGAAAAATAAACACAAGGATTTTTAACTTTAAAACAAATCTTTAAACAAAACAATCTAATAAATATACTTACAAACTCTGGATAGCAGATCGGGTCTCTTCCCCATTCCATTCTCCTCTAGTGAACTCTGATCAGGACTTTTCATTTCTGCAACAGGCTTGAAGCTACTAAACTCTGGACTTGTCATCTCCTTGTACCCTATTTTATCATTTCTTAAGATAAACCTATCGTTTTTTAAAATCATCTGTTCTCCTGCTGGCAATCTTTCATTAACAAGACTTCTTTCGGATTCTTTGGGACTCAACAGACGGTCATTGGAATTCCTCAAACGATCTTGCGGGGTGCAAACAATCTTATTTTCTTTCAATCTGTCATTCCAGGTTGACTGCGTCGACTGATCGGTCGTGTTCCAGATATCCTCGTAGTCAGAAATCTTGTCAGCTGGCGAGCTGCGATAGTATGATTCCAAGATATCCGACTCCTGATAATGCTGGGAGTTTTTCCGGTTCTCGCGATCACGCCGCCTTTTTGATTTACTAGTGCTGGAGGGAGTATTAGGAGAAAGTACGCTGGGTGTTTTCGAGATTAGCTTGGAGGTAGGGGATAAAATTGGTGTGATAGGTGAAAGAGGTGATTTGATAGAAAAGTTGGAAGTGAGAGATTTGTTAGATTGAGGACTCAACAATGACGTATTAGGGTCCGATGGTGTATTTTGCTGTTGGCAGAAAGATGGAAAGATTGTGATAATTTTAATGTAAAGAAATATTTCTTGATTCTTTAATTTTTTTAAAAATTACTGTTTTCTTTTTATACAACAATAAAAAATCAATATATATATACCTGCGAATTCAAGCCGTTACTCTGATTCACGTTGAAGGTCACTGTCGTAGTCACGGTAAAATTACTTTGATTCTGACTGATGCCGGGCTTGGCCCATCTTGGTGGCGGCGGCGGTGGTGTCTTTACATTTTGCGTAGTTTTATCATTCTCAACAACAATGTTCCTAATATCCGTTAATTCTGGTGAGGTGGTACATGACAAATTGTTCTGATGGAAGCTTGAGGTAGAAATAAATTTCTCTGAATTCTTGATGAACTCGACCGTCGTCGACTTCGGTGTGTCCAGGCCGTTCTTCAGAGTGTCAAAGCTCTTAATATCTTGCGCAGGACTCAAAACGTTATTCTCCACATTGTGGACCACCGGTGATGGGCATCGTATGCTTTGCACAAGGTTCGGCGAGATCAATTTATGAGAGAGCTTGTCACTTGGTGATAAGATCCGGTCCCTTTTGTTGTCACTCAAAGGTTCATTGAAGGTTGTCAGATTGAGAGTATTCGGCGGAGTTGGACGCGGCTGACGTGGCAACGATGATGCGAATGTCGATGTGTTTGCGTTAACAGTATTCGTCGGAGAGGGGGTGTCTGCTCACAAAAATAATTTTAGGTAACAAATTATTTTTAGAAGAGCTCGTAGGAATTTATCTTGGCTAGCTTGTGTGAAAACGATAATTCTAAATATAAATGAGAGATCCTCCAGATAAATTTATATTAAGTATCGTAATCAATGTCGCAAAAACAAAAAATTAAAAACATCTTCGAGTATGAATTAAAATCGTGCTAAAAAAGATGTTTTTGGACTTTACATCATTCTATTTTTATTGATTTATATTCATTTTAAAATTATGTCAAATTTATTTAACTCTATATTTATGATAACATTACTCTCAAAAAATATAATTTTTTTATCAATTCTGTGTATTTTTATACCTTAATTCTTACTAATTCTTATTTCTAACTTTTGAGCATGATTTGACATTTAAAAAAAAGTAATTTCTACAAATAATATTTATACAAAAATTGAAATAATGTATATAAAATATATAATCAAAAATATTAAAAAATTAATTATGCATAATCTTCAAACTAGAATAAAATAAACGTAATAATCTATCGAAAAAATAAAAAAGAAACGTTTTAAATACAAAATAGAGTCATATATATATATAATTTCGGCTAATAAAGAAACATTTCAACAATCATTAATACAACAAATGCAAGAGAGAATGCTTATAAAAATAAAGAAAAAAATATCAAAATGTCTCTCTTACGTGTATTATGAGATGATATTGGGGCCAGATTGAGCACTATACTCTCCGTGGTTGGCGTGTCCCCGTTATTATTATTGTTATTATTATGGTTATTGTTACCTGCAAAAAAAAAGATAAGAACATCCCCTTTATCTATAATTCTTGTTTAACTTTAAGCTATTTAGGCTTAAATCTATGTAAATTTCTAATAAATATAATTAATAGATTACCGAGGTTTTAACAAAATATCTCTCTAATAAATCTTTATATTATTAACAGATTTATTAGAGAACTGATTTTACTTTATTTCTATATCTATGTCTAGGGTTGGATATATTTTTATGCACTTAGCGTGTATTTATTTATATTTTTTAGAAAGTTTTTTTACGGATTAAAATTATGTCAAAAACTTACCACCATGGAAACTGCTGAGACTAGAGGTATTACTGCTACTACTTTCCGGTGGCTTTGGATTTGCCATAGGATATCGCCAAAATTCCTGGCCCAGCAATGCCAGTGACGACAATTGCTGCCTATTCTTCGCTTCCCGCATCGCCCTTGGCAGAATCAACTGCACTGGCAGCTCGTCACTGCTTGCCAAACAAAAATAATCACGAATCGATTTCACAAATCAAAATTATATGTTGTTATTTAAATTACTCTCTCCCTCTCTCTCTCTCTCTCTCTCTCTCTGATATATAATATTATATTATATATATTGTGTTATATATTTTTCTTTTCAAATTAAAATAGTACATTCTATTTTATTTTCTAAAATTTTTAAGTATTTTACAAACCAAAGAAATTTTAAATTAAGCTTGTTATTAAATTAAAAATATATATCACCAATTTTTTGACTAAATGCATTAATTGTACATTGATTTCAAACAATTAATTTTTAAGCGATTAACATTTTTTAATTATTTGAACTCTTCTATTTTTGCATCGATATAAGATACTTTTTTATATACTTGACGTATATATATTTAAAAAAAAACTATAAAGTGTAAGAAGCAAGAGGGTACAGCGTTGATAATTAAAGCTATGGTTTGTGACACATAGGAATTTGTAGAGATTGGAAGATAAGAATGAGAGACGATATCACGTGTGTCATTTCCGGGGCAGAAATCCGTAATAAATAAGAAAAGAGAAAAGGGCACTCACCAGCACTGCGAATAGTGAGCAATCAGTGAAGGGATATTGTCGAATCTATTCTCGCTCGTTTCCAAGCTTAGCTTGCCCTTGTTGGCCTGGATCAAGTAATGCTCAATGTATGGTCCCTTCCCAGCCGGTAATCTCACCGAGAGAGCCATTGTGTCACTCTGACTCGATTGTCGCACCACGAAATTCTGTAACAAAAATGTATGCTTATAATTAACAATAATAAATATAAAAAATATTATTTACTTTTATTTTTTATATAATTAACATTAATTATATATTAATATCTTCTTTAATTTTTCGTTTATCATAATTAGATTTTTTCTGCTTTTCTATTTCTCGAAAAAGAGACTTAAAGATAAATAAGCATTTCAGACTCCAAAAAGATGTTATCTAAAATTACCCAAAATGTACATAATTATCAAGAAAATCAGAAAATTCAAAAATTAAGATGTTAGAAGACACATGTGTGAATAAATATAAATTGAAAGTAGATGAGAGAGAAATATTGTTTATATCAGCTGTTCTTTATTTTTATAATTCTCGAATCTCTCTCTTTTTCATGTAGTAGAATGAAAAATCGAATAAAGGCAAAATTTCTTAAATTAAATTAAATTTAAATTACTCTCCCTCTCTCTCTCTCTCTCTCTCTCTCTGATATATAATATTATATTATATATATTGTGTTATATATTTTTCTTTTCAAATTAAAATAGTACATTCTATTTTATTTTCTAAAATTTTTAAGTATTTTACAAACCAAAGAAATTTTAAATTAAGCTTGTTATTAAATTAAAAATATATATCACCAATTTTTTGACTAAATGCATTAATTGTACATTGATTTCAAACAATTAATTTTTAAGCGATTAACATTTTTTAATTATTTGAACTCTTCTATTTTTGCATCGATATAAGATACTTTTTTATATACTTGACGTATATATATTTAAAAAAAAACTATAAAGTGTAAGAAGCAAGAGGGTACAGCGTTGATAATTAAAGCTATGGTTTGTGACACATAGGAATTTGTAGAGATTGGAAGATAAGAATGAGAGACGATATCACGTGTGTCATTTCCGGGGCAGAAATCCGTAATAAATAAGAAAAGAGAAAAGGGCACTCACCAGCACTGCGAATAGTGAGCAATCAGTGAAGGGATATTGTCGAATCTATTCTCGCTCGTTTCCAAGCTTAGCTTGCCCTTGTTGGCCTGGATCAAGTAATGCTCAATGTATGGTCCCTTCCCAGCCGGTAATCTCACCGAGAGAGCCATTGTGTCACTCTGACTCGATTGTCGCACCACGAAATTCTGTAACAAAAATGTATGCTTATAATTAACAATAATAAATATAAAAAATATTATTTACTTTTATTTTTTATATAATTAACATTAATTATATATTAATATCTTCTTTAATTTTTCGTTTATCATAATTAGATTTTTTCTGCTTTTCTATTTCTCGAAAAAGAGACTTAAAGATAAATAAGCATTTCAGACTCCAAAAAGATGTTATCTAAAATTACCCAAAATGTACATAATTATCAAGAAAATCAGAAAATTCAAAAATTAAGATGTTAGAAGACACATGTGTGAATAAATATAAATTGAAAGTAGATGAGAGAGAAATATTGTTTATATCAGCTGTTCTTTATTTTTATAATTCTCGAATCTCTCTCTTTTTCATGTAGTAGAATGAAAAATCGAATAAAGGCAAAATTTCTTAAATTAAATTAAAGATGTCAGAAAGAAAAAACAACAGATTCTCTCTTTAAAACAAAACCGACAAAGATTTAGAGTTTTCTTACAAAGTTTTTTAGCTAAAGATTCTTGGGGAATAGAGAGAAAAGGGGATCGTATCTCATCTATAGAAAGGAACTGCGAGACACATTGTTTTTCGGCAGTACAATTCGTTAGCGGCAGGAGGCAGCGGAAAAGATAGAAATGACGGAGGACGATTAACAAAGGCACAAAACAATGAATCGTCGGAGGAGAAGCAATGGCAAAAGAGCAGTATCTCATCGTTCGCTCACAGTCATTTCGGCGTTGATTACAGCGCGGGGCTTTGCGCACTATTACAGAAGCGTTACAGAAAAAAGAAGCAAAAAGATGGAAAATAAATGTGAATGAAGACGGCAAACATTTTACCGCTATGTCTTAATCGATTTCTTCATTAATCTTGCCGGGAGATATATTATATGCAATGTGTTCAAAATTTTATTGCTCTCATATTTCTCGTTCTCAATCCCTTTAATAATCTAAATTTTTAAATTACTTATAATAAAAGATCTTATACCATCTGTTTTGCTATATATATATATATATAAATTTTAATATTATTGAATTTGTAGAGGATAATAAAATACCAGCAAAGACGTTCGTTTACGAGGCCAACGCTCCCTCAAGACCGAGTTATATAATCCTGTCATAATCCTACGCCACGTTAAACTGAATAAATCGATGCCTCTTTTTTTATCTCCAGTTGAGCTGCGCGCGTCTTATCTCATGCATGTACATATATATACCATTGTAATTTGCAATTTATATCGCGCATTTACACATCAAGTCAATTGAACGCGATGTCCGAGGACGGGGATTACCGTTAACCGGGGCTTCGATCGTCCGGATTTTTCGCGTTGAAATGCCGGTCGTTGTCGGTCGATCGCGGTCTTTCCCCGATAAATTTTCATAGATCGTTCGAGTAACTCCTTATCGCGA